AAGTCCTAGCCTCAGCAATCAGACAACAAAAAGAAATAAAAGGCATCCAAATTGTCAAAGAAGAAGTCAAACTTTCACTCTTTGCAGATGACATGATACTCTATGTAGGAAACCCAAAGACTTCATCAAAGAATTGCTAGAACTAATACAGGATTTCAGCAAAGTTGCAAGTTATAAAATCGATGCACAGAAGTCTGTGGCATTTCTATACACTAACAATGAAGCACTAGAAAGAAAAATCATGGAATTGATCCTGTTTGCAACTGTACCAAAAACCATAAGATATCTAGGAATGAACTTAACTAAAGAGGTAAAAGATCTATACTCTGAAAACTGTAGAACACTTGTGAAAGAAATTGAGGAAGACACAAAGAAATGGCAAAACATTCCATGCTCATGGATTGGGGGAACAAATATTATTAAAATGTCTATGCTGCCCCAAACAATCTATACATTCAATATAATCCCTATCAAAATATTACCAGCATTTTTCATAGAACTTAAACAAAAAAAATTTAAATTTGTTTGGAACCAGCAAAGATCCTGAATAACCAAAGTAATATTGAATAAAAGCCAAAGCTGGAGACATTACAATTCTGGACTTCAAGTTATATTACAAAGCTGTGATCATCAAGCCAGTATGGTATTGGCACAAAAACAGACAGAGACCAATAGAACAGAATAGAGACCCCAGAAATGGATCCTCAACTCTGTGGTCTATTAATCTTCAACAAAGCAAGAAAAAGTATCCAATGGAAAAAAAGTCTCTTCAACAAATTGTGTTGTGAAAATTAGGCAGCCACAGAAGAATGAAACTGTACTGTTTTCTTACACCATACACAAAAATTAACTCAAAACGGATGAAAGACCTAAATGTGAGACAGGAATCCAGAGGAGAACACAAACAGTACCTCTATGACCTCAGCCACAGCAACTTCTTCCTAGACACCTCTTCAAAGGCAAGAGAAACAAAAGCAAAAATGAACTATGGGGACTTCATCAAAATAAAAAGCTTTGCACAGCAAAGGAAACAGTCGACAAAACTAAAAGACAACTGACAGATTGGGAGAAGATATTTGCAAATGACATATCAGAGAAAGGGCTAGTATCCAAAATCTATAAAGAAATTATTAAACTCAACATCCCCAAAATACTCAAATAATACAGTTAAGAAATGGGCAGAAGACATGAACAGACATTTTTCCAAAGAAGACATGCAAATGGCCAACAGACACATGAAAAAATGCTCCACATCACTCAGCATCAGGGAAATACAAATCCAAAAACCACAACGAGACATCACTTCACACCAGATTGGCTAAAATTAACAAGGCAGGGAACAACGGATATTGGTGAGGATGCAGAGAAAAGGGAATCCTTTTACACTGCTGATGGGAATGCAAATGAAAACTTTTTTTTTTAAGATTTATTTATTTATGATAGACATAGAGAGAGAGAGAGGCAGAGACACAGGAGGAGAGAGAAGCAGGCTCCATGCCGGGAGCCTGACATGGGACTCGATCCTGGGACTCCAGGATTGCGCCCTGGGCAAAAGGCAGGCGCTAAACCACTGAGCCACCCAGGAATCCCCACAAATGAAAACTTTTAACTCAAAAAGTTAAAAATAGAAACCACCCTATGATCCAGCAAGTCCACTAGGTATTTACCCAAAGGATACAAGCATAGTGATTCAAAGGGGCACCTGCACCCCAATGTTTATAGCAACAATGTCCAGAATAGCCAAACTGTGGAAAGAGCCCAGATTTCCATGAACAGATAAATGGATAGAAAAGATGTGATGTATATGTATGTATATATACTCACACAAAATGGACTACGACTCAGCCATCAAAAAAATAAAATCTTGCCATTTGCAATGATGTAGATGAAACTAGAGGGTATTATGCTAAGCAAAATAACTCAGTCAGAAAAAAACAATTATATAATTTCACTCCTATGTGGAATTTAAGAAACAAAACAGAGGATCATAGGGGAGGGGAGGGAAAAATAAAATAAGACAAAATCAGAGAGGGACACAAACCATCAGAGACCCTTAACTCTGGGAAACAAACTGAGGGTTGCTGGAGGGGAGTCGGGGGAGGTGGGGCGATGGGTTAATTGGGTGATGGGCATGGAGGAGGGCACGTGATGGGATAAGCACTAGGTGTTACATGCAACTGATGAATCACTAAACTGTACCACTGAAACTAATAATACAGTATATGTTATTTAATTTAATTTAAATAACATTTTAAAATAAAGAAGAAAAAAGAGACTTATAAGATGATGTCAACCCACCTCCCCCTCTCTCAGTCCTCCAGTAACTGAACTCCATGCTTCCCAAAAATTCCATTTAAGATTAACACTGGGGGCACCAGGGTGACTCAGGGGTTGAGCATCTGCCTTCAGCTCAGGTCGTGATCCCACGGTCCCAGGATTGAGTCCTACATCGGGATTCCTGCAGGGAGCCTGCTTCTCCCTCTGCCTGTATCTCTGTCTCTCTGTCTCTCTGTCTCTCTGTCTCTCTCTGTCTCTCATGAATAAATAAATAAAATCTTTATTAAAGAAATAAGATCCACCTTGTTCTCTGCTCAAAGTGATCGTGTCTGGCCAGCACAGCTCTGCCCCATGCTAGTAAGCAATAGATTCAGGATTATCCTTTAACGCTAGATCTTTGGTAGTAGTTTCATCATCCTTTGTCCAGAGCAAGGCCCATCTCTCATGTTGCCAGTTCCCATCTCAGTGTATGAGAGAGGTTAGGTTCTCAGTATGTATTTGAAGAAAACTCAGCAAAGAAGCAAGGAAGAAGTGTTGGGATTCCCTAGGTAACACAGCTAGTTGGTGGTAGAACTGGATTTAGAAACTTTAGCACCTGCTACCATAGAAAAAAATCAGGAAACCTGGTTTATAATTCATCCTTCACAGTAACAGTGCAGCTCTGAATCATTTGGAGGTCTTGCAACACCAAGGAATATTTTCTTAATATTATATGGCAGAGAGAGTGAAAGCCTGCATCACTTCATAGTAAGCTCCACAAGACAAAACTGACTGTTTTTCCTTTTTTTTAAAGATTTTATTTATTTATTCATGAGAGACACACAGAGAGAGAGAGTCAGAGACCCAGGCAGAGGGAGAAGCAGCCTCCTCCCAGGAAGCCCGACACAGGACTCGATCCTGGGTCTCCAGGAACACACCCTGGGTCGAAGGCGGCGCTAAAATAAACGCCGAAACCGCTGAGCCACCAGGGCTGCCCTGCTTTTCCTTTTCAAGCAGTGTTTGGTATTGACTGCAAACCATTTACATAGATAATCATCTTGGCAGAAGAGGGTCCCTGCATGGAGGGTCTTCATAGGGGGCTGCTGTTCTTGTTCCTGGCCCAGAGCTGGGGTGGATTCTCACACATGTGGAAGCTCCAGGCAGTTTGGTGCTGCCACTGCTCAGAGCCATCAGCCCTCTTTGTTCAGGATCTAATAGATCAGGTTTCCCAAATCTGGCACTATTGTCATTTTGCTCTGAATAATTTTTTGTTGTTGCGGGGGCTGTCCCGTGCATAATGCAATGTTTAGCAGCATCCCTGGCCTCTACAGAGCCAGCATCCCTTGGCTCTCCCCCAAATGTTGATAATCAATTAAGTCTCCAGACATTCTAAATGGTCCCTGGAGGATCAAATCACTTCTGGTTGAGACCATTGTTCTAGATAAAAGGACAGGTAGCCTCTGACCCCCTTTCCCTTCTTCTAGAATGATGCACTCTCTCCCCCCTTACCTACACCTCTGGTCCCTCTGAGCTTGATTGATTGGTTATTGTTAGAATTGGCTACTGATCTGGAAAACACAATCATATTGCAGCACTCACGATAGGTGTCTATGTCCCTCACTAGAGGGAGCTCTTCATGGGCAAAGATGATGTCTTTATCATTCTTTGCTCCTTGCACCAAGCCCATAGTATGTGTTTAATATGCTTAATTGAATTTATGTTATCCCAGAGCCAATAAGAGAAAATGAGGCTGTGTAGATTTCTGATCTAACTTGAATATGTGAATTTGGTTCAAGGGATCACCTTGGCAATGAGAGCTGGTCAGGGGAGAACAATCCCCATATCCAGTTGTTATATATTTCCTGAATCTGGAGTCATCGGGTTGGGTTATTAAACAGTTAACAACAAAACAGGCAAGCATGGTGGAGAGAGGACAAGAAAAGAGCCCTCACAGTTGCTGTAGATTGTTTTGCTGAAAATGCCACTTGTAAAGAGCTGGGGAATTGTCTGCCTTAGATTTTTAATTTCCTGCTGTAGCCTGTTAGGAAAGGCCAACAAGTGATTCCCACCCCCACCCCCCCACTGCATACAAAAGCCTGATGGGCCTGGGGATAGACCCAGAAAGTAGCCCCACAGGCAGTGGAAGTAAATAACAAAACCAGGCTCTGAAATAGCTAAACATCTTGATAATCTTGCTTCAGGGGAGGAGGATGAGTGGAATAGCAGGTTGTAATCCAGGAGATACTATGTTTTTGCAGAACTGGTGGCTTTAATTTGCAAAGGAAAAATAGACTGGGCTAAAACATTAATCTGTTTTGCCTGATGTTTAGCCATCTTTCTGCCAAATCACGTCACCATCTGTCCCTTCTACTCCTCCTTGAGCACTCCACTCTAGGTGCAGCAAGCTGCAAGTTTATCTAGTGGAGCCCCAGACACTGACTTCATCAGACCTTCCAAAGGGCTTTATGGAATCACAGAATTTTAGAGCCACATGGGACCCTGTGGGGGTATGTAGTCATTTTGTATATGGAAACAATCCACCAGAGATGGTAAAGGCCATTATTTGCTCTGTGATGCTGAGCACGTTGGTGCGAAGTCTCTGATGCTTCCTCCCAGTCTACCGCTTCCCCTTTCTCCCTCCCCTCTCCCCAAAAGAAAACTAAAAAGTTCACTTTCTACAAACTTTGGAGTGAAAGCCTGAAGGAACGCAGTGGAGTGTTTACACGGATCTCGGTAACACCCACCTCCACAGCCTCCGTTAAGGGCGAGACGCTGTTGGTCTTCCTGGAGCCCACGCGCACCTTGGCGGCCTTGTAGATCTTCCAGTACACGAAAAGCACCACGCAGAGCGGCAGGTAGAAGGCGCCCACGGTGGAGAACACGGTGTAGGAGGGCTCGCGGCTCACCTGGCACTCCTCGCTGCCCTCGGAGTAGGTCTCCCCCCAGCCGAAGAGCAGCGGCGCCAGGGAGATCACCGCGGAGAGCGCCCAGGTGAGCAGGATCATAACATTGGAGACGCGCCTGCGGGCGCGGAGCGTGTATTCCAGGTGGCGGGTGATGGACCAGTAGCGGTCCAGCGCGATGGCCGTCACATTCCAGATGCTGGCGGTGCAGCAGAGCACGTCGCACGCGATCCACAGCTGGCAGAGCCGGCGGCCCAGCTGCCAGCGGCGGCCGGACAGCTCGTGCACCAGGCTCAGCGGCATGACCAGAGCCGCGACCAGCACGTCCGAGATGGCCATGGACGCCACGAGGTTGTGCGGAACACGGTGGAAGGTGCGCACGCGGAGAATGGTGGCCAGCACCAGGAGGTTCCAGGAGAAGGTCGCGGCCACCAGGCAGCCCAGCAAGGTCAGCACAAGCACACGGAAGACGGAGAGGAGCGGCGGGCTGGGGCGCGGGGCTTCCGAGCCGGCGCCGGTGCCGAGGCTGCTGAGGTTGGTCTCCGAAGGGGCCGGGGTGAAGAGGGAAAAGCGGGTGAGGTTCACGGGCGAATCCATCGTCGGGTCGGGAGGCCAGCCCAGGGGCTGTGCAGAGGGGGCGTTCAGGGAGACGCTGGCCCCGGCGCGCACAGCCACCCCGGAGTGTGCAGCCTCCGCCTGGTGGCCGGGCTCCTGGGCACTGCCCACCAGACTGGCCCCCGCCTCCCGCCGGGCAGCGGACGGACGTGGGAGCCGGCGTGGCAGGGCGGAGAAAGCTGGGCTGCGTCTGGCGGCCAGGGCCCTCCTAGGCTGTCATGCCCAGGCTTCCCCCGCGGCAGCGACGGTGGTCGCGGTGCCCAGGGCGGGCGGCAGCTGGGCGCCCCTGGAGCGTCCGGGCGCCGGTGCGTCAGAGCAGTACTCTCGCCTCGTCGCCTCCCTACCCGCGCGGCTCCCGGGGCGGCGGGCTGCAGCCGCAACTCCGAGCCCGGGGGGCCACGGAGGGCCGCGCTTGGTGGGGCCTGCCTTCCGCTATCGCCCCCTCCCCGCCAGCCCCTCCCCGTCTGGGGCCGCGGCGCGGGCGCGCCCATCCGGACCTGCCTGCCTGCTCGAAGTGGGGATCCAGCCTACGTCAGGCGTCAGCTGATGAGGTCGCCTCTCCCCGCCTCTCCCCGCCTCTCCCCGCAGAGCGCGCTGGTGCTGTCCACGGTGCTGCCGCCTCGCCCACCTGGGCGCGGGGCCGGGTGCTGTCCTCGGTACCGGCACCGGTCCTTCTCTCCACGAGCGCTTCCCTGGTGGATCGAGGTTACCAATGCACCCTGCTGGAAACATTCCTCGGGCCCCCACCCACCCACGTCCTTCCAGGGGTGGTCTGCATACCTGGAGTGGGTTCTCAGCTTTCCACGGGGGCTTACATTCGGTATACGAGTTGGAGTCAAGCGCCTAAGATGGTATCGGCGGCTTTTCTTCTCCTGAAGATGACAGTACATGATTGCGTCCTTCCTACACAACACCTGGTGCTTCCCCCTAAGGGGGAGCTTTCCTTTAAGGAAAAAAAAGGCAAAAAAGAAAAAGAAAGAAAGAAAAAAAGGCAAGATAGCATTTACTGTCCTTCCTAGAGAAGGCTGAGGGAACCACAATGTTTCGGCTATGTCCTCAGAATCACAGAGAAGCTGCAGTCTTTTCAGTGGTCCCCATTGGATTTGCTTCCTTTGAGGGGCAACACTGGATACCGGTTGTTACAAAAATCCGTCTTGTTGGAAAGAAAGAGGGCGTGTTTAACTCTTTCCCCACATACACACTTACAACTATATACACATCCATAGTACTTGGGAAAAGATCAAAAGCTCCGACCCAGAAGTTATGATGGAAAGCACTCCACAAAGGGAGACATGGTATCACAAGATAAACTGAAATAGGAGAGACAATATGATAGAAAGGAATATAAGATGGTGTTAAGAATTTTTCAAATTTTTAACAGAATGCAATAAGTATCAGGAGAATGCACCGAGAAGAGAGAAGCTCCTTCACTGGGACCCAGCGGGTGACGCCCGCTGTTATGAAATACTGTTGATGTAAATACTCTTCATTAAATACAAGATTATTCACAGAGCTGCTTCACCCAAGATGTCTTAGACACAGCTGATGGTGGCTTCCTGTGTACAGTGCTACTGTGTGTGGCTCTAGCTGAGGGGAAAACTTGTGTTCATTCAGAGAACATTTACCTTCTTGAAGCTATAGAAGCAACAGGAATAAGATGTAAACTATGAATCTTCATCTTTGAAACAAATACTCTAAACAATTCTACCTTCAGTTTTAGGGACCCATGACCTGGAATAAGGGTGGCCTGCATATCCAGTAGGCAGCAGACCTTGATGATGGTATCTCCTGATACAGATCTTAAGAGGCATCATGGATTGCAAGCATATTCCTCACTGGCGCTGTATGCAACAGCTAGCAGTCTGCATTGACAGTTAAGTAGGAGGCTGTCAAATAAGGGGCCAAGCAAGGGATAACTGAGGATATTTTGTAAAAATTGGAGTGTCATATAGATAAGAATGCAGTCAAATGCTCTCACAAAGAAGAAATCCAATGGGGTATTTCCAGGAGAACCAAATTTTTTGAGAAATCCTGGTTTATCTCTTAAAGAAACAAAAAGAGAAATCAGAACATTTCATTTTTTTAAATCTTAGAGCACGGCCATAATTTTAACTTGAAAAAATATATAAGCAGGTATAGAACTCCCACCTGCCATAAAGCACCCCTGAAATTTAAGTTTTGAGGAGTAGAATTTCTTGGTTTACCACCTACTGGCTGAATTGTTTTCCCTTCTCCTTCAAAATTCTTGTGTTGAAGTGTTAACCCCCAGCACCTCAGAATGTGACTGTATTTGGAAATAGGATCTCTAAAAAGATGGTGAACTTAAACTGAAATTCTTAGGGTGAGTTGCACTGGTATCTTCACAGGAAAAGGGAATTTAGACACACAAAGGGATACCAGAAATGTGTGTACACGGAAGGAAACCACACAGGAATACAGCAAAAAGGTGGCCATCTGTGAACCAAAGAGAGAAGCCTCCAGAGTAGCCAAACTTGATGACACCTTGATCTTGAACTTATGGCCTTCAGAACTGTGTTAAAAAAATAAATCAATAAAAGGAAATTACTGTTGCTTGAGCCACTCAGTGGGTGGTATTTTGTTATGGCAGCTCTCACAAATGAAGACACCGTCCAACAAAAGACATATGCAAAAAATACAAACAAGATGATACACTGCATGGGGGTTTTATAGACACAATGACAAATTACAGGCCATCTACTGAAACACATCTTTATAAAATGTACTATGTGCCCATGCTAGCAATAACTAGGTGCAAGTTCTGTTGTCTGTTGAAGTGCCTCAGAACTCATGAGTCAACCATATGATTGGCGTATAGAAAAATGTTGATTGTACATTTTTTATAACAAGAAGGTATGCGTCTATTTGATATAAGTAGGAGCTTAACTGCAAAATAAGATTCTTTTTTTAAAAAAGATTTTACTTATTTATTCATGAGAGACAGAGAGAGAGAGAGAAGCAGAGACATAGGCAGGAGGAGAAGCAGGCTCCCCATGGGGAACCTGATGTGGGATTTGATCCCAGGACCCCAGGATCACGCCGAAGGCAGACACTTAACCACTGAGCTACCCAGGTGTCCCTACAAACTAAGATTCTTAATTACAAGTTTAAAAATGAGAAAAACTGGGAAATGCAGAACATGACCTCATTCTGCCCTACTTGCAAGGATGGGAGGGATAACATTTTTCCTACCCACCTAAACTATTACAGTTTTATAAAATTCATAAATCATTAAAGCATTATTGTTATACAAAATCTATATTATAAACCAGGCATCAGGGGGATCCCTGTGTGGCTCAGCAGTTTAGTGCCTGCCTTTGGCCCAGGGTGTGATCCCGGGGTCCTGGGATCGAGTCTCACATCGGGTTCCCTGCATGGAGCCTGCTTCTCCCTCTGCCTGTGTCTCTGCTTCTCTCTCTCTCTCTCTCTCTCTCTCTCTCTGTGTGTGTGTGTGTGTGTGTGTGTCTCATGAATAAATAAATAAAATCTTAAAAAAATAAGCCAGGCATCAAATAAGTATCCCTGTATGATCATACCTCAAACAAATTTTAAGGAACGGTTATCTCTATTTTATTTTATTTATTTTGAGAGAGAGAAAGAGCATGGGAAAGGGGGAGGGGCAGAGAGAGAGAGAGAGAGACAATCTTGAGCAGGCTCCAAGCCCAGCATAGAGCCTCAATGTGGGCTCTATCCCATAACCCTGAGATCTTGAGTGAAAATCAAAGTCACACACTTAACCAACTGAGTCACCCAGGTGCCCCTATTATTCCCACTTTATAATTGAGAAAATGGAGTCCTAGAAATGAAGGGACTTGTCCAAAATCACATGAGATTTGAGCCTGAGTGTGGCCCAAGTGTGTGCTCTTGATCAGTATGTTTTACTCTACTAATAATCAGGATTTCACAACAGTTAACTACATAGGCTAAGCCTTTGTCTTCATTAATCACTACTATAACAAAATACCACAAACAGTGGCTTATACAACAGAAATTGATCTGCTCATGGTTCTGGAAGTCTGATATCACAGTGTCAGCATGGCCGGGTTCTGATGAGAGCTCTCTTCCTGGCTTGCAAACATTTGGAGAGAGAGAGAGAGAGAGAGAGAGAGAGAGAGAGAGAGAGAGAGAGAGAGATCTTTCTCTTCTAAGGCCACAGTCCTGTTGGATAAGGGCTCCAACCTCATGACCTACTTTAACTGTCTAAAAACTATCTCCAGATACAGTCACATTGGGAGTTAAGGCTTCAACATATGAATGGGGGGATACAATTCAGTCCATAGCAGACCTAAGAGACCACTTAATGGTAATAGAAAGACCAAAACAATTTACAGTACTCAGTGTTATTCCCAACCAATTTTTCCAAAGGTGGAAGAAGATAAAAATAACCAGAGGAGCCATTCTGCATGGTCTTTTAAAGACTTACTTTCTCCACATGCTTAACAATGGCCACAAAAATCCAAGCTTGCTGTGTTGTCAAGAAGAAAATGGAAATGAATCATGGATAGAATGAATAGCATGTACCTAGGCTACATTTTAAGATATCATGGTCCTCACACTTTTAAAACAATTGCTTACCCCTGTTTGTATATAAGAAGTACATATTTTTTCTTCATCTAGTCTACTTAAAAGTAGAAAACAACTGCAAGTCACAATATACTGACAGCTGAAGAATACGGTGCTGGTGGAGATCCTATGCTTCATTCAGAGTGTCTCAAACTCCATACACATTCTATGACCAGAAGAAGAAATGTGCTAGTTCTAGATTATATATGATAGAGTGTGTTTTTCCCTTTTTTAAAGGATTAAAGGGTACAAACAGAAGTTATTTTCAGCCTAAACCTCCACTGACTGCCTTACGTGCACCTGCAGTACATGTGCCTAGTTTGGAGACTGCTAACTATGGGTCATTCTCAGGGTCCATCGGGATAGGACAACGCACATACACTTGGTCAGGGAGAACAGATAGCAAGAGTGACAGGTCATCATTCAGAGCAGCATCAGGGCAGTAAAACACCTGCTACACCCTTTTAGCTTGAGCACAAACTATTGGCCCCTCATCCTATGTCATCCTGAGTGAACTACATGAACTGGTTGACTATTCCAGTCACAGCCAATTCATTAGGCTGAATAATTAATTCCTCATGTCAGACAACTTCTCTTTATTGTTGTTTTCCTATCACACCCAACAGAGCCTAAAATGTATTAGGCCCCATAAATATTTTCTGAGAGAACAAAATCAGGAAAAAAAGATCTCCCAAGTAAACTACTGTTTTTCATGTCTAATGTAGGCATAATTAAAACTGAGTGGAAACACTAACATAAAAATTAAGAAAATGTCTAACCTCAGAGCAGTGATGCTGTACTTTTTTTAAAAAAAGCACAATTATTCTGAAGAAGGTGAAGTCAAGAATAAATAGATGCTAAATTGTTATCGAAATCTTATAAAATAAGATCAGGACAGAGTCATGGAAGTCACGGCTCTCGCATAATATTTTTCTCCTCCCCTAACTACTGCAACAATGACAAGGTCGGAGTGACCAGCAGGAGGCGCCCATTCACAGTGAGCTATGGAGATTGTGAATGGAACACAGCAACCATGGAGCCTAGATAGATACCTCATCAGCAAGAGTATAGCACTCAAAACAAACCACGCATGGACAATGAAGAGGCTGATGGTAGATAACACTAAGAAAAGAGCCACACTCTTCTGCCCAGGGATCACACCAGAACCACTTCTCAGGCTCAAAACCTATGAGCTGAAGGAGAAGGCAGGCACCTATGATGAATGACCCTACAACATAGTACTAGGTGTACTCAGTAGAAATAGCCTTGGTCCTCCCCTCAAAGAGCTGACAGCTATATTCACAGGTAATTGTGCATGGAGGATAGGAAATATCTGGACCTTCTGAGGACTGTTGGACTGAG